TACTAAAAATTTACCAAAGGTAATAGGAGTATTATCGAAAAATAAATGGATGTCAAGGACAATTTTGTACATGCTTGCAATTGGACTGGTCTATGCTTTTTTTTAGAGGATTTATTTTTGCACCTTATAGACTTCTTCCACACCATGTGAATTTTCACAAATGCTCTTTGATTCTGGAGATATATCTCCAAACGCACCAAAACTCAATTGAACGTTAAAATATTCTGGAGATATATCTCCGGACGCTCCAAAACTAAAGTGAACATTGAAATATTCCGGAGATATATCTTCAGAATATTTTGAACATATTAACTCGTCAGACTCTTCTCCTCCCTCACGTTTCATTTTCATTCACAAACTCTTCCACTCTCAATCCCAAATTTCTCCAACTCCGCCAAACTATATTTCATCAATAGGAGGCTTCAAGTAAACATCAAGCATCATCCATTTCATCATTCAACATCTTTCAAATCATAAATTTCAACTAAGTTTTTCGAGTTTTCGCTAAATATTCGAGTTTCGTTGTAAACGAGTTAGAATCAATTGTTAGGTGTATAAATATTTAGAAATCACATGAAACATAGTTTAGAGTAAGTATATGTGTTGTTTGTTGGCTCAAATGAATGATCAGGGTTGTAATAGACACATTCTGAGTAGCAGAGGACGACATTTTCGCGACCTTTGAATTCCAAAAGTTTCTGGAGATACATCTTTGAAAAGTTCAATGTTTAATATACTTTAGGAAATTCTAGAGATACATCTCTGAAATGTTTTCGCTGATATATTTCCAAAATTTCCTCATTTTCTTTTTAATTTTCTTGTTGGTGTTGTTCTTTTGCGTAAACTAATTATATAGCTAATTTTACCTTGCATGCATAATGGCTGACAGAGTCGACACACTGAGACTTGGACGAGTTTCCCAACACACATCTGTTCGGCGGGAACGAAGCCAGCAGGTTCCGGAGGGTGCATGTACATCTTTTTTTACGGAGGAGTCAACTTTTGGGGCGCAGTCTACTCCTGTGACTCAATCTACTCTTGGGGCTCGGTCTTCACCTCAGAGCAATCCATCTACATCTCAGGCCATCCTATCTTCATCTCAGGTCAATCCACTTTCTTCTTCTTTTTCGCGTAGGAGACATGATGCACCAGCTGACGCGTCACTTTCCTCATCCTCTCGCAGGCATCGGGATGCACCTGTGTCACCTCTTGTTCATCCAATGCCACCTCCCGCTGATGATCCTACTGATCCAGTGCCATCTTTGGAGGGTGAGGTTGCTGAGGATGCCAAGTCAGAGAGATTTGGAGGAGGTTCATATGTTCCTACTTCCTCTGTATCTAGACCACACTACCAGACATATCTGGGATGGATTTTTTTATTGACATATTTGTGCCACCTCCTATAACATTAGTATGATTTTTTATTTATTTTTTACGTTAATTTAAATTGCTGACATTGATTATTTCTAACTTTGATTATTATTGACATTGATTATTTCTGGAAAATCATAGGTGCGTGATCCCCAGAAGTTTATGAACCATAGGAGGAAGATTTTAACATTGCATCATTCGAAAGATAAGTGGTTTAAGTCGATTCTGACCGCTTCTGGGTTGCGTGACCTATGCATGACCGGTTACAATCTGGTCAACCACATGATGTTTAATGCATTTGTGGAGAGATGACATTCTAAAACGTTTTTTTTTCATCTCCCGCATGGTGAGATGTCTATCACACTGGACGATGTCTCGTCTTTGTTGCATCTTTCGATCGGGATGAAATTCCTCCACCATGACAAGATGACCAAAGACGAGGCGGTCGAGATGATGGTGGAGCATCTGGGGGCTGATCTAGGGGGTCGTAGTTAAGGAGGTGGATAGGATCAGGGGTGCCCATGCTAGGATTGAGTTCCTGAAGAATATATTTGATGATGAGATCGTTGTTGCACAACAAGCTGATGGTGATGCCGAGCAGGTGACCTTACACAGGACTCGTGCTTTGAGGACATATTTTCTATATTTGGTTGGCACTTCTATTTTTGTGGACACGAGTGCCACTTATACTCACGTTGCATACCTCCGATACTTCTTAGATCTCACACGGATCCATGAGTACAACTGGAGGCGGCCTTCCTGGCCTATCTGTATTCGAAGTTGTGAGATGGATGTCGATGGAGGACGAAACAAGGCACAAACAACACGACACTACTGGTGGTAATAATTTTTTATCCTTGAATGTTCTTTTATCATTTTCATTTCATATTTGCGATAACTCTTGATCCCTGAGTGTTTTTTATTTTCATTTCAAGCATGGATCATGCAGCACTTCCCGCGTATCGCTGGAAGGGCTTGTTGGGATGAGTACAATTAGGAGATGCCTCGTGCTTGTGCTTTTATCCCACTGAGAGAGAACCAGACGGTCGAGCCTTTTAGAGAACATCCACTTCAACTGCTACGTGGATCACCATCAAACACGATCATTTGAAGACATATCTCTATATTCCGGATGGTTGACCTATTGATCATGTATCATTGCTCCTCATTTGCCCGAGCGCATCATGCGGCAGCTCGGGTACACCCAGATCATACACTATATTGTCTATGCTCATCCTGCCTTGACTCGTATACAGATAAATGAGATGTTTGATGATTATTAGAGTCACTTGGTACTTGAGGAGGCTCAGGCTACCATAGCGTCGAATGACTGGAGCTACGTCGACGAATACATAAGGTGGTTCTCCATACGTGGTGTCGACTGCTCTAGGAGATCCGCCGAGACCCGCTCATCAAGAGATTATAGAGGAGCAATAGGCTCAGCTAAGTCATACTGAGGATGTCTTGCCTCGGCGTCGTCGCATAATGGATATTGCGCAGACAAACATTAACGAGGGTATCTTCCCTGAGAGCTCTGTTGTGCGGCGAGTACTGAATGCCATGGTTGCGGAAGCACAAGGGACACTATTGTACCGCAGACATCGCGCGAGGACGGGAGGATCGATGGCTGAGGAGGCACAAAAGGTGGATGAGAGGATGTCAAACACACTTAATAGGAGTCTGTTACTCTTTTCCTGACATTGTCACTACATTTTGGATATGGTGTCATACGATATTTTACTATTATATGGCTATATTATTTTGTATGTCTGTTATTTTATTCGATATCGTTCTTCATAATTCATTTGAAAACAAATACACAATTCATTATAAAAAAGTTTGTTCTATTACACTTCAGAGATGTATCTTCAAAATATTCCTGTAAATACATCTCTGAAAGTATTATAAAAAAAATAGATTATGGGAGATATACCATAGGCGTTTAAGGTTTAATTAATTCCGAAGATATATCTTTGAAATATTTTAACATTTAATCAAAAGTGTGGTACGTTCATAGACGTATCTCCGAAATCTGAGGACATAAATGAAAATCCACACTGTGGATAAGAAATGCATAGGAGGGGAAAATATATATATAGTTTTTTTGTCCGATAGATGCATGGAAATGCCTACCGATATGCACATGAAAGCCGCCAAACGCATTCAGAAATTTGCAGGGTAACATGAGCTATGGAGTATTGTATGAGATAGAAAAGGGAGGGGACTAGGGATGGCAACGGGGCGGGTCGGGGCGGGTTTAACTATACCCGCACCCGCGCCCGCCTCCATGTAACAGACCCACCCCCGCCCCCAAATCCAATCGGGTGTGAAAATTTACCACCCAAACCCGCCCCCAGTAGAAAACGGGTGCACCCGCACCCGCCCCGCCCCCACCCGCAAAAAATTATTATTATTTTAATTATAATAAAAATTAGTAATTTAATTAAAAAATTGATTATTTTAATAAATTAATTAATTATTTAATTAAAATTTTAATTAATAAATGAATATTAACTTGATTAATTTTATTATTTTAATTGCAATAAGAATATTAATAACTTAATTAAAAGTATAATTAATAAATAAATATTAAAATAAATAAAATAAGGAAATCAAAATAAAATATATTATTTGGGGCGGGGCGGGGGCGGGTCTTAGTGTCTACCCGCACCCGCACCCGTAGTTAAGAACTGGATTTCACCCGCACCCGCACCCAATTAAATCGGATTTCCCCCGTTAATTTCGGGGCAGGTCCGGGCGGGTGTGGGCGGGCCCGGGTTTGTTTGCCATCCCTAGAGGGGACCTACTTGGATGGTATGGCTCTAATTATATTGGTGATCATGAGGATACAAAAAGCACACATGATTATGATTTTAAGCTAGGACCAACGGCAATATCTTGGTCCTCAAAGAAACATCCAAATGCGAGACTCATAACCACCGTAGTAAAGTTTGTGGCAGCTACATCACGTGCCTGTGAATGAGGTTTACTGAGAAGAATCATAATGTTAATGGAATAAAGGCAGGCTTCCATCAGGAATTGCACAAGCAAGATTCAAGTAAAAATTGCATTGTGATCTACTGTGACAATAGTTCCAATATCAAATTGTCGAAGAGTCCTAATGATGCATGAAAGAAGCAAATATATTAACGAGTGATTTCATTTCGTGAGAGATTTCACCAAGGATGGAGTTATCAAATTGATTAACTATTGCGCACCTGATCAATTAGTTGATATCATTACTAGACTTTTTGCTCTTTGAAGAATAATGGAATATCATTTTCAATTTATAATTATACATGCTAAACTAGCGGTTTTGGAACAAATACACAAATCTAGCTGCAAAAGACATGTATGATGATATATACAGGTTTACAACATTTCAAAAGCCACTCCCCATTTCTAGCAAAAAAGGGAATGATACGGTAAACTTTGAAATATTGGTTAAGAAATTGAAAACTAACCTAGGCTCTAGGAACTTGAATAAAAGTGCTTGTTTGTTTCTGCGGCCTATTAACATGTGCTGACTCAATTCAACTATTTGGAGCTTTGGAAAATTCAAACATGCTCTAAAACCTGTCCGATAATAATCTTCCGCCAGCTATCATAAATCTTACTTCTACTTCCTTCTACATCTTGTGGAATGCAATTAAAACTGCAGAACAATAAAGAAGAGCTTTGAGATGGCGACAAGGCTTCTATCGTAGTAAGGTAAAATTTCCTCAAATTCCAAAGTAGTAACTTGTTCATAAGAAACTGCATAGCATACAAGTAGATGCATGCATGTATGTATATGAATAAATAAATTATAACAATAATTTACCAATCAAGCAGAGGAGAAAAACAATTGAAACAGTTATTTGTGCGAGACGACTGTATTGCATTTGATATTGAGATCTTTGAAGCTGTCTCTGAATAGCACCGCACCATCCATAGAGTTGCTTGTCGTAACATTCATCAGAACTATCGAGGCCACTTTTAGTTTTTTCGAGGCAGGTATTGCTTCCCTTTTTTAAATAAAACAAAAATAAAGAATTACAATATTAGTAGTAATTCAACAAATGCATTAGAAGTCAATCAAACAAGTCTCCATAATGAACAAAACAACAAAAGCAGATTAAGGGCTCTCACCCTATTCAATTCATTCATTGGAATTAGTGCACTATCCGTTTCTTTATGATGATCCACTGTTTTCAGCTTTCTATAACCATTCCTCGGCCACTTCAATTTCGAGATTGATTCAACAGAAGTAAAAAAGCCCGATAAACTCGGTACCTTATGCATTGGACCACCAGAAGAACCACTGGAGGAACTCAACTGCTGTGAATCATCGTTGACTGAAATTTTCCAATAACCAATATCAGCACTAGCACTAGCTACCCTACGAAACCCATGTGATGCATCCTCCTTAGTTTCGCCACGTCCAGATGAAATATGAAAATTCTTCGATAAATTAACATCAGAATCTTTATCACATAATCGCTGATTGTTAGTTTCAGCTGCTGGCATTCCAGAAAGAAACATAGCAAGCTCGTCTTTTTCTCCTTCGTCCAAACACACCCACGGCCGAGACGCCTTGCCACCCAAAGGAAAGGCTTCATTTAAGGAAAGCTCGACTTTCTTTATCTTATCCTCCATAGCAGTGATAAAATCTCGGTGCCTAGTTCTTGCATCATTACCAGAGTTTCTACTATAACTTGACTTAATTTCGCGTTGAAATTCCTCTAACTGCATTTCAAAAACAAAGAAACAATACAAACCATATACCGTCATTATTATAAACAACAACAACAAAAGTGCCTTACCCCAAACCCTAAACCGTTGTTATTATGATGATTAAACATTTCAAATGAAGTTCATAAAAATTAAGAAAGGTCATTTAGCAGGATTAAAATTTACCTGCCATTTAGTAGTGCCAAGAGTAGTAAGTAAATCTCTTCTGAGTTCATTAGGGTTCCACATGCTTGAAGTATCTTTGGTGGCATGAATCCATGTCCTATATGTAGATTCCATCCTTCAAAAACACAATAATCACAAATCAATATCCATAAATTTGAACCAACACACATGATAAGATTTAATTCAATATTCAACAGGAAAAACGGGAAAATATATAAATAAAAATATATATTTAATTTCATTCCAAAATTTATTTTCCAAAACCTAATAAACAACAAATTAAATAAATTATAAAACAAAAGAGACAAAATTTGATTGGAAAAAGAAATTGAAGGAATGAAATTGGTACCTATCGGCAGATTCTTGAACTTCTTCAGCAGCGTGAAAGAATGGATCTTTTTCCCAGCGATCAAAAGTCGACGCCATGAAATTGAGAAAAATGAATTGGAAATATAAACCCTAACTGGGGAAATTGAAAATCAATTGAAAGGCATAAAAAAAGAAAAATAAAAATAAAATGGAAGCAATGGATCTGAAAAAGGGTTGTGGTTAGTTACAATATGGTTGAGAATGGATAGGGTTGGAATGTAAATAAATAGGAATAAAGTTGTTTTTATTTATTTTTGAAAGATTTTTAATGTTTATTTATTTATTGATTTAGTAGTCAACGAGAATTTCTCATAATGGTTGCATGTGGACAATGTAATGCTGACAATGTTAGTGGTCAAAAAAGTACTACCTCAGCGTCCTGCCCTACTTTGCAATTTTTATTTGGGTGAATTGGGGAAGGTATATATATATATACAGCCGTGCTATTTCTATACTTACACCAAACACTATTCAATTGTTTTTATTTTTTTAATAAATAAAAATAATATTTATAATATGTGAACAGTGCATGAATAGTATATGAACAGTACATGAATAGTGTATGAACAGTGCGCGATAAATCAAAATTGGTTAATAAAATATATAAAATTGGTTAATGAAGTTATGAAGTTGGTTAATATGCGACCAGATATTAAGAATAATTTTTAGCCGTTCATGAAGTTGGTTAATACAATGTATAAAATTGGTTAATCACACACTTTTATGTCAATATCATTTAATTTAAAAATTAAAAATATAAAAATAAAATATTAAAATAATTTTTTTATTTTTTATTTTAAAATAATAATATTATATTAATATTTCACTGTTCATCGAGATGAACAGTAAAATACGGTGTAAGTGTAAGTTTTTGGCGTAGGAATATCATTTTTGATATATATATTCTTACTTTTTTATTGTAAGTGTATCAGCATATTTATATTGCTAAATCTTAAATATTGTATTGCTAAATCTTAAATAATAATAATAATAATAATAATTATTATTATTATTATTATTATTATTATTATTATTATTATATTATTATTATTATTATTATTATTATTATTATTATTATTATTATTATTATTATTAAATATGAAACCATTAAGATTATTATTATTATTTTCTTAAATATGAAAATGTTAATACTATTATCATTTTTTAAATCTAGTATAATTATGTATTAAAAGAAAAAAAAATCAAAATAAATGTTATTTATTTTGTTATTATTATAACTATTTCATCTTAAATTTAAAATTATTTATATATATTTTTAAAAAGAGGATAAATAAAATTTAATTAATTAAAAATTTGTAAAAAAAACTGTTTAAATAGTAATACTTATAAATATTCACATATATATTAAAATTCACAAATATATATATATATATATATATATATATATATATATATATATATATATATATATATATATATATATATATATATATATATATATATATATATATATATATATATATATATATATATATATATATATATATATATATATATATATATATATATATATATATATATATATATATATATATATATATATATATATATATATATATATGTGGCATAATATAGGGTAACCACACATATCATATTTATTTAATATAGAAATAAATAGTGAGATGTGTCAATACAAACTCATTATCCTCTCTAGTCTCTACAATTGAAAATATTATAATACAAATTTAGCATGTAAAGGGATTTATAAATTTTTCATCAAAATTATTTCACACATCACCTTGGCAGTAAAAGTTGAATGAATTCAGAATCCCTTGAATAAAAACAGCATCTTTAATACAAATTTTTAATAGTTAAATTTTTAAAATTAATAATGATTATAAAGAATTTGCATTATAATAATTATGACATGACATTTAATTTATTAACTTTTAATTTTCAACAATTATATAGCTAATGTATGCTATTTATTTTAAAACATATGATATTATTATTTATATTATTAAAAAATAATTACAATTAAAAAATATAAAATATATGATCAAATTTTAATTTTTTATAAGCAACTATCAATAAAGTAAAAATAACTCAAATCAACTATAATTTTTTAAATCTTACAAATCACTTTGAGCCCACACAAAATATCTTAGTTTACCCATTTAAGATACTCCCACTGAAAATGTTTTTAAGTGTTTATTTTATAATGTAAAAAAAAAATAACTTTTAACTTTTAGATTTTCAATTTAAATCAATAAAAAAGTTTAATTAAATAAATACTTTTTAATTTGTAGTTTGTAATTTTTTCTAATTTATAATTTCTTTCGTTTTTATTTTATTATTTTAACTAAAAGTCGTTTTTATTCTTCATTGTTTATTGTAATTTAAAATAAAATAAATATATTTTAAATACTTGAATAGAAAAGTTAAATTTTACATTTAAAAAATTATGAATCTCTTATTCAAATTTTTATCAATTATTTTTCTTCGTGGTTTTCATATCACTTCATTCATTCTCTTTCTTTGCTTATTACAACCTTTTCCATTATTGTTGCTCACTTATACTCTATCATTTGTTATCATCCGACAATGACATGTATATATATATATATATATGGGTTGAATATAATATGATATTATATTTAAATTTACATGTATATTTAAAATTGTTTACATATGTGTTTATTATTATGTAATATTAAGTTGATATTCAATTCATCCCCTATCCTATAATGCGAATTCGAAATAAATTTCTTTTTAATTTTTTAAAATGCCGTGGCCCGCTACATTAACTTTTTTAAGTAGATTTTTATTTTATTTTGATTTTTTATAAACTATTTAAAAAACACTAAACTCTAAATCTTAAACGCCAAACAAGAAGATCTAATCTTAGACATATTATTCAAAAAGGATATCGATAAGACCATGTCAGTCATAGATAACATTTATCTCATTTTTCTTGAATAATGGAGAAACAAATTTAAACCAAGAAAATTAGAAGGAGGTGTCTTTGTGGAATTGCAAGCCGGTGATTTTCGACTCAAATTGCACTGAAATTTATTAAGTCTGGTTTGAAAGAATCTTAAGAACAAATCCACGATATTAGAATCACTCTCTCTTCAAAACATGTTTAGAATTTCGAAAAGGTTTGTAGTGGTTTAGCATTTAGACATGAAAGTGTAGTATAAAGTTGGTAAGTTCAACTTGCCTATCAAGTTTTGGGACTTAATATATTCTTAAGTTCAAGGAATAGGTGATTTAAAGACATTTCGACACCACACTATAAAAGTTCGACATAGGTTGTTAGAGTTTGTAAAGCAATTTCAATAATGTGAGTAGTTTAGAGGCAGTTCTAAGACTAAAGCCACGTGAAAACTTATTAGAAAACAAGAGTCTACGTAGTAGGATGTGTGTCAGGTCCTAGAGAATTAACTGTTATTGACGATTATTATTGTATTTAATATATAAGTCAGTTTCGTTCATGTAATAAAGGTTCACAATTTTTCATTAGTATTCTCTATACAACTCGAGTATCCAAGTCACAAAAAGAAAAGAGTTTGTGAGAAATGTATGAATTGCATCCCTCTTTTAATTCTTTAATTCAAGCATTGTATTTGTTTGATCATTATCATTTATTTTCATTTACTTTAATATTTGAGCAATTTTACACTTTAATTTTGAAACTTTTATACTTTACATCTAACCATCAAATATCCAAGAACAAATGTATTTTATCTAACTGTTTTTTGCATAAGTGTCATATGATTTTTTCGAGTTTAACCTTGTAAGTGAATTAAAACCAGTTATTGTTTACCAAAAACAAGGGTAAACAATTTGGCATGCCCAATAGGACTCTTTAGTGCAAGAATTTTAAACTTTAATAGAAAATAGTATAGCCTAATGCCCACATCAATAGCAATAAAAAGGAAGAAAAAAAAGGATCGCACCAGCAAAAGAAGGGGTGTTGAAAGGAATTCAGGTATGTTAAGGGACCTAAGACGCTGGTTAAGGCCTTGAGGGAGTTAAAAAATGTTGACTCTACCTCAACCACCAGAGTGTATGACTAATTGGTCAAGGGCTAGGGCGAAGCCAAGCATACAATAGCGTAGGGGAGCGCTGCATAGGATTGGTCAATGGAAGCAGGAGTCAACACATAAAGTGGCTGAGAGGCTACAACATACTGACATACTTATCCAAAGGGAAAGGATGTGTGGGTGACCTAAAGTGTGAGGAGTCTCACGTAAGACTCGCATACACACACACACACATACACTATTTCCCTCTCTCACATACACACACGCGCACACACACACATACACTATCTCCCTCTCTCTCTCTCACACACACTCTCTCTCTCTCTCTCTCTCTCTCTCTCTCTCTCTCTCTCTCTCTCTCTCTTTCTCTCTCTTTCTCTTTCTAGCAAACACGATTTCCAAATAAAAACCTTACATGAACTGTGATTAAAATCTCACCCTAAACACAAATTCTCAATCAATTTTAACAGAAAACCATCAATCAAAAGATCAAACAAGAATCCTAGAACATTCAAAATGAAATTAAATGGCGTTGAAGCATAATTGGAGTTCGAGACCATGGGGGTTTTATACCCTATGTCCCATGCGCATACTGCGGTGAAATAAAAATGAGCAAAAGATAAAAAGAGGCTACCTACGATGGAGCTCTGCTTTCTTTTCTGACGAGGCGTGTCCAAATTTTGGCGAAGGTGAGTCTTAAATCTTTTCTTCCTTCTTCTGCTTTAATGTTTGTAACCCTCCCCTTCTTCTACTCCCTTCACCTTTTTCCTTCTTTGTGTTGTGTACGTATCTCTGGTAAAGGCTCTAAGAGGCTTGAGGTTAACTCAAGTTCAAATGAGGAGCTTTAGTAACCTTCTATGAGAGTTTTTTAGTGAGGGGTTAGGAATTTTAGTAGGGTTTCAATGTGAAATTTTTGTGTGTTTAGTGAACACGAGGGAGCCTAATTTATAGGGAGTGTGGGTGAGGAATTATGAGGGAAGAGAGAATTTGTTAGGGAGTTTTTGGAGGGAATGAATATGATCAGTGATCCTCATAAATCAGTGAGGGGTGGTTAGGATTGATTAGAGAAAAAAATTAGTTGAATTTTGTGTTTCTTTGAGAGGAATTATGTTAGTTGTAATATGTATAGGATGACTGATGATGTATGGATCATGGTGGATTTGAGTGGTTCACGCGTTTGCTTTGTTGTTTTCAATTGTTTTCTTTTTTTACTGTAAGTCATTTTAACCAAAGAAGATGTGTGTGTATGTGTTATGTTGGATTGTATGCATGATGGAAAATCTTGTGCTCAACTTGTTGTTTACTAATTGATTTCTGATTTAGTTTGAAAACAAAAATGATGTATGTTATAAAGTGGTTTTGATGACATGTTAGAATCTTAGTATGGCGTGATGAATGATGTTAATGTTGCTACGTGTGTTTTCTTTTTTTCTAGTCCATTAACAATTTTGTGCAGTGTATGATGTATGTTGGTTTGGTTTTGCAGGAGGTGGATGTGTTGATGAATGCACAAAGTGATGTTTGTGATGGTATGAAGCATGGATCCAAGCAAAGGCATAAGGATGGTGTTGGTAGAGGAAATTGTGTGTCAAGATACACAAAGATGATTATTTCATTTGAAGATGAGAAAAAACATGTGACTTGAAGATGGTGGTGATGATATCATATGCTGATGATGAATGACACGTGGGGACATGCTGCAAGGGATGGAAGAATCGTGTGGGATGATGATGGAAAGATGAAGAGGCCCGGGGACCTCCCACAAAGTTGGAGATTTCCCTTTTTTGCATATTTCTATTTTTGTCATATATCAAAAAATGTAAAACTTAAAACTCTTGCACTTTAATTAAAAGTAAAATAATAATAAAAAAAATTATTGTATTTTGTATTCAATGTAAAATGTAATCTCTGTTAATTTGAATTATTTTAATAAAAAGATTTCTATTAGTTCTTTTTTTTTTTTTTAATGTAAAGCATGCTTTAAATATAGTATCCACAAACTTTTGAGTAATGAGATAAAGTAAAATTCATTGTTGTTATCTTAATTTAAATACAAATTACTTATTACACTAAAACAAAATGAACATGTATCATAATAATAAAGATGTAACTTGAATGAAATGCAAGCTAACTCAAATTGAGGCTAAAAAACCAAACACACCACAAATGATCAAATGCAAAATTCTAAGAAAAACAACATTAGTTCTATTGAGTTCCAAAGCACTCGGTCCATGACCACATGCAAGAATAAAGCCAATAATTCAAAATAGAATGAAAGCTTAAAACCAAGATCACACACTAAATCAAAACAAAAATATATATGGCCAAATGTCAAATGACTTATTATGAATGCAATTGTGGATGCAGATGAGTATATCTAATATTATACAATGCAATAAATTAAAATTAAATAAATGATAGGATAAAACTGAAATATGACAGATAGTATATAAAAGAAACATTCTAAGTCAAATTTCAAGCATTCTAAGTCAAATTTCATTCTCACCTGTGAGAGCACAATCGTGTCGTAAATGCTCCACTTTTTTTATTATCAAACTTTAGAAGTTTGCATCTAAATCATCCACATCCAATACTTGTTGGGTGTGATTTTCCCCCAAAATTGCTTAGTCTTGTTTATGTCGTAAACTATACCATAATAATTGATAATATTCATAAGACGCGAGAGAAAGAATTGTCTATCATCTATTACAAAATTAAATGGACAAAGAAAAAAATGAGTTTGGATTAGAATATCTTAAGTCTTATCTCCACCACAACCACCATGGTTACGAGAGTAATTTTGTGAGTTAAATAAAAACATGGTAAAATTATCATTAACAAAAAAGAACTGGTGCTTGAGAAAAATTCAATGATTAAGAAAAAACACAAGAGTTCAAATAAAATAAGTGAGAAAGTTGAGATTCATAGTGAATAGAAATTCATATTTAGGATAATGCTGACATGTGTAATAATGTGTCCATATAACAATATTAATAGAAGATAACATACATAATTCAAAGCCGTTAAGCCATTACACATTTACAATGTTTTGTTGATGTACAAGAGTTGTTACAATTCCTTATCAGTGTTTCCTTTGAACCTTCAAAGAGCAAATAGCAACTCTAATGGGCCACTCCTTACTTGGCCCAAAATCAAGTCCAACTTCAATGGGCCCAAAATCAAGTCCAACTAAACACAATGGGACTCGAAACCTTATGCTTCCCATCACTCCACACCAAATAACCAAAACTCTTGGTTCCAGAAGGCATCGAACCGCACGTGAAACGCACCGTATAACCCTTTTTCTCATTCACCCCAAACCTAATCGTCTCCGGCACCACCACAACCTTCACCGATGAAGAATCCACCGCCGAAAGCACCACAGACGCTTTATAAACCCCCGGAGCACCAACATTCGTAAGAACCCTACTGTATTCCACCGTCACCGGCTTATCCGAACCACCGCCAATTCCCGAAGCTGTTTCCAAAGCAACCGCAAAAGAAGGATAGTTGAAATCCTCAACCCTATAATTTTTCTTTCTATCACAAACAAAATCTCTCCTCGCCGCGATTTTGATCTGTGACGACGTGTAGTTCAAGGCACAGAAAAATCCAAGATAATCATCGACGTTGATGTCGTAAACAAGTCCAGGATCAAGGGCGGAAACAGGGTCCACGTGTCCAGACCCGAAATCGAACGGAGTAGCGGGTTTCCCGGTTGCAACGTCTTCGATTGTTTCACCGTTTTTGTAAGAGGTGTATGCTGTGGTCATTAACGCTGACCGTATAGAAGCAGGGCTCCATTCAGGGTAAGCTCCTTTAACTATAGCAGCTAAACCACTCACGTGAGGGCATGACATTGAAGTTCCTGATATAATGTTGAAACTCACGTGCCTTTTGTCTGTGGTTAGACCGGTTGGACCAATTGAACCGGTCCAACCTGCTAAGATGTTTACACCCGGAGCTATTAAATCGGGTTTGTGAATCTTCGGTGTTAAAGAGTTTGGTCCTCTTGAACTGAATGCTGCTACCACTGGTGAAGGTTGAACTTGTAAGTGTGTGCCACCGAATACTAGTTTAGCTTTAGGATTTTTAGTGGTGAAAACGTAGTTTTTTAGGATATTGCTTGATTTTAGACCCAACGATGCTGCTGGTAGAAGATGAGAATCAGCTATTAATTCTTCACCATACTCTTCATTGTTAGCCAGAATCATTCCTATTCCCCCGGCATTTTTTACTACCAGACCCTTTTCAGCTCTTGAGTTGCCACCTCTTTCGCATATCACGATTTTGCCGAAAACTTTTGATTTTGTTAATGAATCAGGTATACAAAGATACCCAACTGCGGAATTGCTCACATTTCCCGCATAAACCAGTGGTAGCAATGAGTCTGGTAAAGGTTTTCCGTTGTAAAGTGACGCGCCTGTGTAGTTTTTTCCGTTTTCAAGTGTTATGTAACAAGGGAAATCACGGTCGATTGTTCCGGCTCCGACTGTTGTTATCCATGGTGCAACGTTTGATAAGCTTTCGGCACTTGGTCCACCGTTTCCAGCTGATGATGAGACTAGAATTCCATGAGACATTGCTGTGAAAGTACCAATTGCGATGATGTCTCTGTAATATTCCGTTAAGCTGCCACCTATGGACATTGATAAGATGTTCACGCCGTCTTCAATAGCTTTATCCATTCCAGCAGCTATGTCGGACGTGAAACAACCACCAGTCCAACATACTTTATAAGCTGCTACACGCGCTTGCGTAGCCATGCCTCTTGCTGTACCAGAAGCTAAACCAAATAAGCTAGCTTCTGCTACAACAGAACCTGCGGCTGTTGTTAACGTGTGAGTTCCATGTCCATCATCATCTCTAGGGGATCTTGATTCTGTTGTTTCATCTATTGGACCAAGTGCTGCTTCATACCCTTTTGCAAAAAACCTGGCGCCAATTAGTTTTTTGTTGCAGTTTGATGAATTCATGTTGTTACCGGTTTCACATGCGCCTTTCCAGCTGCTTGGGATTGGACCAAGTCCTGTGTCATCTAAGCTTTTTATCTCTGGCCATATACCAGTGTCAAGAATACCGATAATCACCTGGCTCTGTTGTTTAGACTGAGGTAGAAGAGTGTTGGTTTGTGGCAAACCAAGGAACTGTGGTGTTCTTGTTGTGTGAAGTTCATATCTGAGTTCAGGGATAACAGAGAGAATTCCTGGTTGGTTTGAAAGTGTTTCAGCTTCTTGATGAGTAAGTCTTGTGGAGAATCCATGAGCTATGTGTTTGTAGGTGTAGAGAATCTCTGCTGTTTCTGATACTGATTTAAGCGATGTGTCAAACCAGTTAAGGTGATCAGTGAATGTTTCTGGCATGGTGGATTTGTCCATGTGAATTATGTATGTGTTTTTGGTTTGTGCTGTGGTTTGTCTGCTGCAGAATATGAGCAGCAGAATAATTTGAAGAGACTTGAAAATCTTCATTTTTTAGGTTTTGTCACCAAAGAAGTGTCAATGATGGTTTTTCAGACAAAGTTCGAGTCTATGGCTTGTTTTGGTTTTTGATTCTCAGATACTTGAGATGTGTTGTTGTGTGGTATTTATTCTTGATTTGGAACGTGTGGATTGGAACTGTTGAGTATGCGAAGGATTAAGATTCTTTTAAGGAGCAAAAAGTAAGTGTAGTGTATGAAGATTCTTTTGAGGAGCAAAAAGTAAGTATAGTGATTAGTGATTATTTTTTAAAAAAGAAAAGACAATTTTTTGGTTTTATCTTTTTATTCTTTGGAAAAATAGATTTTAATGTATGGATGCATTTGCAAACAATTGGATGTAATATAGGATTGTAGTACTTGTTTTAAATAAAGAGGAGATAGTTTCATTTTAAAACTAGTTAAAAAAGCCTTATTCAAGATTTATATAATATTAGCATAAAAATAATTTAATTTAACTTTTTTTTAAAAAAATTCTTATGATGTTAGCTTTAATGTAATGAAAAATTGTTTTTAATCTTTAATATCTTAATATATTAGAGTAATGAATTTCATACTTTAAGCAATAATTATTCTTATTATATTTTAGAATTAAATCGAAAGTAGTTAATATTAAATATCATGTTATAAATTATATTCACATAAAACAATGATATTTATCAACTTATTATATTATGAATTCAAATCTTATTCTAATGATTATTAACTTTAGTATTTTGTAATATTTGATCATGTCACGGAAATATGATAAATGAAAAGTGAATAATAATTTTTTTAATTGTTTATATTAATTATTGATGTGTGGATATGAGAATGTTGTATTGGATGTATGAAAAGAGTGTACATAATAATACATTTTAAAATGATAATATTAAATAGGTGGTGCCTATGATAGAAAAAAGAATAAGAAACAAATTTAGATGATTCGGATAGGTAATGAAAAAATTAAAATTTTGTCAGCAAGAAGAATAAATCAAATGAAGAGGAATCAAATATCAAACAATTACAGATAGAAAAAAAATATAAAGAAACTAAAAAAGAAATTGTTAATAAATATTTTGTGATCATCTATTTGTATAGGAATATAATCATGAATAAAAAGTTATTGTGGAAATTGATCATCTTAGTTAGTATTGTTAGTTGTTGGTATACATACATATTAATAATAATTATAATAAATGTAAAATAAAATTTAATAATAATTTGAGAATCATTCACATAAACATTAAAATTATATTTCTCCTTTAAATATGAGAAACATTGTGAAAGGGAGGGAATAACATTGAAGACCAGACGAGATAAACAACATATTTGTATGTGTTTATGAATAAATTTGTATAAATCATTTTTATAATTAAAAAATAATAATTATTTTTATACATGTTTTTAAATTATTTTCATAAACTTGAAAAACTTATAATTTTGTTTTATATAAGAAACACCATAAGAAGTTTGATAAAGTCTCAAACAATGATTAAAATATTTATGTAAGTAGATAAGATTAACTAAGATAATCCTAATAGACCTTATAATCTCAAGGTTTTTATTTATTTTTATTTTTTAATTTTAATTTTTATATCTTAATAAAAAAACATTTAAAACCTTGAAAATATACACCACTTATCTTAAGGAATAATCTTTATAGAAATTTATAAGTATAAGATTTAATATTATTTTTTTCTCGTATTTTTTAGTTGGAGTTTATAATGATTCTTTAATTAAAAAAATGTCTATTTTGATTCTTTAATTATTCAAATAGAGTCGCGTTTGTCCTTGACATCAAAGTTATTAGTTAAAGTCAATGTAAGAGGTTTGTTGTCATTTACATTGAATAGTTTTTGTTGAGATGAAAAAATATTTGCTGGGCTGTATATAAATATTGGTGAGATGAAATACTTCATCAGATTTACAAGTGATTGCTTTCATTTCTCTCATATTTTCTCTCATAGTGAAAGAAGGGAAGACGCATGAGTGTTGATATGAATGCGAACGAAGGAAGAACAGAGGTTGCGAAAGAAGGAATGAATCCAGAAGCAAGAGGAAATAAACCGAGAAAATTGTTTTCTGAAACAAAAATGAGAAAGACAAGTCTACTGATAAGTTTAATGTTTCGTCCCTTTCTAATTTAGGGTTTACTAGATTTTCACTTTTCACACTTTCTAATTTATGGTTTATTGGGGTTTTCATTTTACGGGTTTAATGTGTGGGGTTTAATGTATAATATTCGTTTTAAGGTATAATCTTCGTATTAGGATTTTCTCATAGTTTTAGGAATTTGTGTTGGTTCTTATTCTAAATGTCAATTTGTGTTGTATGAATGTGATTGTATGAATTTTTGTTGGTTTTAGGAATTTGTGTTGGTTCTGATTATAACTGTAAATTTGTGTTGTACAAATGTGATTGTATGGATGTGATTGTGGTTGTTATGATTTTAAATGTTATTATGTGTTGGTTCTTATTATGTAGTTTTCCGTTTAGGTAAATAATGGGTGACTTTGTTCATGTTTTTATCCACCACGGAGGTTCATTTATAGATGATGAGTTTTCTAGTTATGAAAGATTAGTTTTAGAGTTGAAATGTGATGTAGATAAGTGGAGCTATTTTGAGGTGGTAGGGATAAATAAAGACATGAGATATAAGAAAGTTGGAATAATATCATACAAGAACTCCACATTTGGTATGTTTACTTTGAGTGGTGACAAAGGTGCTCAAGATATAGTTGATTTATGTAAGGTACATTTAAGTGTTCATATATATGTACAACATCCACTTCTCAGCTTGAGTATTATGACAGTCCTATAAAGGATGATACCATAAACTCAAAGGATGTTGTTATTCTTGATGAAGAAGATGATATTGGAAAACTGTATGAGGAAGTTGTCAAAGATAGAACATGTGATGTAACTGAGTTGAATGGGGATGAGGTGAATGAGGGTGTATTTGAAAGGGACGAACATGAAATTAATGAGGCGAATGGAGTTGAGATTAGTGAGGGTGTTGTTAGAGGTAATAATAATATTAATTGGGTTGAGATAAGTGATGGTGTAGTTGGAGACAATCATGTTGAGGTGAATGGGGTTGAGGTGAATGAGGTTTGGGTGAATGAGGGTGTAGTTGAAGTAAATTATTTTGAGGCAAATGAGACTGAGGTTGATATGAATAATGACGAGGTTAATGATGTTGAGTTGATAAATGTTGAGGTAAATGATGTTGAAATCATTGACACTGAAGTATATGATGATGGTGATGATGTGAGCTTTCATTATGATAGTGTCTTAGTTGTTACCTTTTGACGACTCATAGGTAGTGGTAGTGATGGTTTAATGGAAGACGGTATGGAAAATATGCTATGTTATTCTAATGGTACTAGCAACAAAAACATAAACAAAAGAGGATTTTAGTGAGGTTGACGACTAGATAATATGTTCACTAACACCTATCTTACATATAATACTATTTTACATAATTTATTTTGGTAATATATTCACTAACTTTTTGTAATATATGTAATTTTTTATGATTAGGATTGAGAGAGTTAGTGGATACACAAACTTATAGATTGTTAGGTATAATACTATGTGTTCATTTATCTGTTATTAGGTAATGTGCTATTTATTCACTTATATACTTCGCTCATATTGCAAAATATTTGATGAGTATATTTTTTTAAGTTAAGCACATTGAAAATTCTAAAGATAAAATCTTTGTCAACTTGCAAGATCATAATTCACGAAATGGTAGCTTACATCATTGTTGTGTGTTCATGTCATATCTTCCATGAAGAGTAAGAACTTGAGGATGAAGGAGTACATTCCTGATATTTACAAAAAAAGGAAAATATTAGGAGGTATACAAACATGTATTTTTATCTTGTTAATGAGTCTAAACTTTAGAAAATGACAAGTTATTAAATGTGCATCCACCTGTCTTCAAGAAATGTGAGGTACGCCAAAAAAGAAAATAAATATGTAGCAATGAGAAATTGATGGCTCTGGTTGCAAAATGAGGAGGACAAAATTACATGTTAAAATGCAGTAGGTGCACCTAAGGAAAGTCAGGACCAATATACTCAGGCAACTTACGCTCAAACTTGGCAAGTGGAATAAGACCTCTTAAGGAAGGTGGACTAAAAGATGTTGTCAAGAAGTTAAGCATAAGGAGACCATTCAGAAGTGTTGGTTCACCAGGTCCTACAATTAGGTTAAGTGCAACTAAGAATGTCTCAAACCCTATCACTAGGCTCAATTTATCTCAAACAAGCATAAAGACAAATTAGATTTCTTCTAGAACTCTATTTTGATTTAGGATAGTTGTGATGTTAAGTTTGATGCCTTTTCGAACTCTGTTTTGGTTTCAGATTGGTGTAATGTTAAATTAGATGTCTTTTGGAATTCTCTTATGATGTATTGAGTTATCTTTTTGATGTACTAGGTTATCTTTTGGTACTCTATTTTGGTACTATGTCCTTGACGGGTTTGCTAATTAATGAATGATGTTTAATATTTTGTAATTCTATATTCAATGATTATTGTTTATTGATACGTAAATCTTTATTAGTTACTATTTACTTATTCAATAGTGATGCATCCAATTCAACTAAAATGATATCAAATTTGGTCTGTCAAATTTATGTTTAAAACAAATAAAATGTATACCATAAACATATTTGATATGTTAAATTAATGTTCAAATCAAACCAAAAACATATTTGGTATGTCAAATTAATGTCAGTTTGATGTAAAAAAAAGAGTATACCACAAACATATATTAAGAGGAAAAAATTAAAACTTGAATTCCATTTCATTCATCTAAAACTACATTACAAAATCAACTCACACATAAATTATGGACAAAATTACATGATTAAAATATCTAATTGTACATTAAAACACTTATAACTACATAACATAATTTTTTTTATAGAAATTCTTCCACTTCATTGTGTTTTTGAGAGGCACTTCAAGTTCTCCTAACTCTTGCTTTTGTGCATC